GGCTGTGAACTGCGCAACCGTCGCCACTTTCGTGGGCTGCTGGGAGGTCCAGCGGAGTGGAGGTGTACGCGCATCCAGCCGAGCCCTCGCAGCTCCCTGGGTGGCTGCGGCTGCGAACTGCGCAACCGTCGCCAGTTTCGGGGGCTCCTGGGAGGTCCAGCGAAATGGGGGTGTACGCGCATCCAGCCGAGCCCTCGCAGCTCCCTTGGTGGCTGCGAACTGCGCAACCGTCGCTAGTTTCGTGGGCTCCTGGAGGCACGGCGGAATCGAGGGCACCGCAGATCATTTGACACCTCGCAGGTCCGTCGGGGGCTGCGAACTGCGTATCTGTCCCCACTTTTGTGTGCTCCTGGGAGGCATGGCGGAGTCGAGGCCAGCGCAGATCATTTGAGACCGCGCGGCTCCCTGGGTGGCTGCGAACTGCGGGACTGTCGCTTTTGTCGTGGGCTCGTGGGCGGCACGGCAGAACCCAGGGCAACGCAGATAGAGACCTCGCGGCTCCCTGGGTGGCTGCGAACTGTGCAATTGTCGTCTTTTTCGTATGCTCCCAGAAAGGCACGGCGGAGTGCAGGCCAACGCGGAGCATTTGAGACCTCACGGCTCCCTGGGTGGCTGCGAATTGCGCACGTGTCGCCACTTCGTGGGCTCCTGGGAGGCAGGGTTGGGAGTGCAGGGCGCCCTCATGGCGCGAGCTCGCATGGCGCGTGGCGCCGTCGCGTCATTGAGCGCGCGGCGCTGTTGCATCACAGAGCGCAGAGAGCCATAACGTCACTTAGCGCACGGCGCTGTCCTCAGTGGCCCACTCCTGCGCAGGTGTGCGACGCGCTTGGGTCGACACTGTTAGGCGAGTAGTTTCAGAGTGCTGCGTATCTCGCAATATGTTTTTTCTTCCCGGAAAGGGCGCTGACCCACGGGCCTGTTTTTGTTGGTACATTATTCCCGTCACCAAGTTCGAAGAGGGTCAGCGGATTTAGTTGCGAGAGATAACGAGGTCGAAGAGGGCCAGCGGTCAAAACTCTGAGGATGTCCCGAGCGAGTCGCGAACATGTTCGTTTGTTGCGGTTGTTCCTCTCCTGGGGGGCAGACTTCAGAGGATGTCTCAGGAGAACTGCTTGTTTTCACGTGCCCAGGTCGCCCAGGGGGGTATCTTACATGGTGTTCCCGAGCTGGAGCCCCGTGTTTTCACGTGTCCAGGCCACCCAGAAAAAGGGTATCGAACATAGTGGTCCCGAGCTGGAGCCACGTGCTTTTACTTGTTTGGGCCACCCAGTGGGGTACGTATTTGACATGGTGGTCCAGAGCTGGAACTATGTGTTTTAATTGTCCAGGCCACCCAGAGGGGGTATTTAACGTGGTTGCTCCGAGCTGTAACCATTTCGTTTGGGGCACTCTGGCGTGGGCGCCCACACAAGAGCCAGACAAAACCAAAGGAGCGACACCATAGGTGTCATACATTGCCACCGTTCCTTCGGCTGGTAGTTCTCCTGATTGCCCCCGCCCCCTGAGGTACTTAACATGGTGGTCCCGAGCTGGAACGACGTGTTTTCGCGTGTCCAGGCCACCCACTAAGATGGTGGTCCCGAGCTGGAACCATTTGCTTTCACGTGTCCAAGCCACTCAGAGAGGTATCGAACATGGTGGTCCCGAGCTGGGACCACGTGTTTGTCCAGGCCACCCAAGGGGATATCTAACATGGTGGTCCCTAGCTTGAAGCAAGTGTTGTGATATGCCCAGGCCACTCAGGGGGTATCGAATATGGTTGTCCCGAGTTGGAACCTGTTTTTTTGCCGTGTTCACCCCCCCAGGGGGGTGTCTAGCATGGTAGCCCCGAGCTGGAACCAAGTGTTTTTACGTGTCCAGGCCACTCAGAGAAGTATCTAAGATGGCTGCCCCGAGCTGGAACCATGTTTTTTTTTTACGCGTGCGCGCCACCCACGCGGGTATCTAACATGTGGTCGTCTGCCCTCCCCCCCCCGCGTGGGTGCCCCCAAGAGCCAGACAACATCAAAGGAGCGACACCAGATGTGTAATAACTTGACACAAGTTCTTCGGCTGGTGACTTTCCGGATTGCACCCTGGGGTATCTAACATGGTGGTCCCGAGCTTGAGCCCCGTGTTTTCAGTGTCCAGGCCCCCCCCTAGGATATCTAACATGGTGGTCCCGAGCTGGGACCACGTGGTTTACGTGTCCAGGCCACCCAGAGGGTATCGAACATGATGGTCCCGAGCTGGAATTGCGTGTTCTCACGTGTCCAGGCCACCCCAGGGGGGTATCTAACATGGTGGTCCCGAGTTGGAGCCTGCTTTTCACGTCGTGTCCAGGCCTCCCAGGGGGTGTCCCACATGGTTGCTCCGAGCTGGAACCACGTGTTTTTTCGGCGGCGAGCGAGGGGGGGAAGTGAGAAGGGGCGGGCCTTCTCAGAAGGCTCGGAAGTCCCCTGGCCTTCTGAGAAGTTTTCTAAGCCTTCCCCGAAGACAAAAAAAACTTCTCAGAAGGCGCGAGGGCTTCTGAGAAGTCCCGCCGCCTTCTGAGAAGGCCTTCTCCTTCTCACTTCCCCCCCTTGCTCGCCGCCAATTTTTACACGAGTGACCAGGCCGCCCAGGGGAGCATCTGAGGTGGCGATGGGCTCAGGAGGGCACGGGCAGCCCCGGGAGGCTTCGCGAGGGCGAGAGGGAGGCTCCGGGAAGCTCCAGGAAGGCCCAGAGGGCACGGAGGGGCACCAGGAGGTCCCGGGAGACCACAGGAGGGCCCCCCGGAGAGCCCAGGAAGCGCCAGGAGTCCCAGAAGGTCCCAGGAGACCCCAGGAGGTGTAGCTCTCTCTCTCTCTCTCTCTCTCTCTCTCCTCTTGTTCTCTCTCTCTCTCTCTCGCTATCTCTCTCTCTCTCTCTCTCTCTCTCTCCCAGAGAGAGGGCCCCAGGAAGCGGCAGGAAGCCACTGGAGCCCCCGGGAGGCCACGGGAGGCGGCAGGCGGCCGCAGGAGGCCCAAGAGGGGCCCAGGATGCGCAGTCCTGGTCGAAGGCCTGCATTCCGTGCGTGCCCGCTCGAGGAAAGTGCGCCCAGGGGGGATATCCAACATGAGGTCGTCGGCTACTTCGCGCGTAGAACTATGTCTGGCGCCCGACGCGGCCCTAAGGACGCTGGCACGGCGTAGTTTACGAAGGGTCTTGGACCAGGGAGCGCGGATGCGGTGTAACTCACGAAGAATAGTGGCCATCGGGCACGTTCCCTGGCACGTTCTGTGGCGCGTTCCCTGGGCACGTCGCGTGGCGCGTCCCCCGGCACGCCTCCCGGTACTTCCCCTGGCAAGTTCCGTGGCGCGTCCGCCTGGCTCGTCTCGTGGCGCGCACCCCTGGCACATCTTGCGCCGCGTTCCCTGGCACGACCCTTGGCACGTCCACTGGCACGTTCCGTGGCGCGTCCCCTGGCACGTCACTGGGCTGCGCGGCAAAGCGCAGAGCACCACAACACAGCCTTCGGCGCAGTAGCATTACTATGGATATCGTCAGCGTTGCCACTGGCCATCGCCCAATTGAGGTGCTTGGAAACGTGTCCATGCCTCGCAGTTCTGAATCCCATTTCCGGGTTCGTGGGTCGACCATGCTTTCTGGAGCGGTCAGAAACATAGTCGCCTTGCGTGGAGAAGGGTGTAGGTACGTCTCGGTTAACTAGTATGTGTGCTCCCTAGCTGATACTTCTTATTTGCCAGTGAAGCATGGAAGAGGGCCAGAAGGATCTCATTCAGGAGGGGCCACAATAGTGGGCGGACGGTGGTGGCAGTGGCCACCGTGCCCATGCTTGGCAATGGGGTTCCCGCGCCATCGCTGACCACACGTGGTTTGGACTAGTGGGCCCGTCTTATCCCCAGCCACGATCCCATGCCAGATTGGTGATCTTGCCTGCGTGCTGACCCCACTTTTGGCTTGGCGTAGCGTTCTTGCTGCAGCGGGGGTCGCACTTTCAGCCCAGAGCGGTGTTCACACCCCAGTGCCAAACACCTTCCCAGCTTGGAACGGCGCTGCCGCCTTTGCGCTGGGCGCTCTTCTAGCCGAGGTAGGAATGTAACCAGAGGTAGAGGCAGACGAGGCGTTCTACGTGGTGGAAAGAGAGGGCGGTAGAGGTCTTGGAACATACAGAAAGGGATGTGCATATTTGGAATACAGAGGATGGAGCGGATCAGAATGACTGCGCCCTCACGCCGCTGACTTCCCAGGCCCATCCTGTGTCGATGCTGGATCATATACTGGGCCATCACGGGGCCCCTCGGGGGAATCTTGATGCCTTTGGGGTCATCTTGGGGCCGTCTTGGGCAAGATCGGAGCTATCTTGAAGCCTCGAGGGCCCATCTGGAGGGCACATTGGGGCCATCTTGGAGCCTTGTTGGGTCATCCTTGGCGATGTTCATGGCATGTTGGGGCCTTTCCAGGCTACCTTTCGGCCGTCTGGGGGAATGATGGTGGTTCTGAGGCCCGTTTTCAAGCGCCCTCACAACGTGAGACAGGACAATGTACATTGAACACGCTTTCGTCTTTCAATGTTGTTTGCCCCCTCAGGGGTGTCTCTTTCAGCGCGGTGGCGTCCAATGGAGATCCTGGGGTGACCGAGAGCGGTTAGGAATTTGAGGGAGCCCGCCTTGGGTGCTTTCTTGTTTGACGTCCTAGGCCACGCTCAGTAGACAGCTACATGGAGACATGGCAAGAGAGACACGACAGCACAAGGGCAACCCAGGTAGCACACGGTGGAAGTCCAGCAGAGCTCCTCATGGCCTGTCGCACTCAAGGGGGCCAGCGGCGATCATGAGCGCGAGCACGTTTGCAAATGAGCAAGCGCCAGCAAGCAAGCGCCATCAAATACGCACACAACAAGACGCACTCAAGCAAATCAGATGGTGTGGGCTTCTGCTCTGGAATTCTGCCCCGCGACGCCCCCCCCCCCCGCCCCTGTAAACGATCTCCGCTCGTGCTTGTTATGTTCTCCCTGGAGTGTTGGGCCCTCATGGAAGGACGCCTGGCGGGCCACGAACTCCGCGATCTTCGCCCTGACCGTGGTCCCCAATGCGTGGTATTTCTTCCTGTTCCAGAACGGCTATCAGGAGGCGCAGCTCCCGCTGTACGCGACGGCGCTCCTAGCCAATGTGCTGGCAGTGCCCGCTGGGAGCATTGCCTCCACACTCATCAACCAGGAACGCTTCCGAGACCTACTCCAGCTCAATATGCTTGGTGGTTCCGTCTTGCTCATCTGCACAGGGATGGACCTGCCGTTCCTGGTGGCAATCTGCAGCGTGACAGTTCTGGCTGGTATTGTGCTCCACGTGTTCTGGTAGTTCACCAAATTCACTCTCCAGAGCCTCGTCCTTGGACTTGTTATGGATATTGTTCTTCGATGCATGATGCATGATGCAGGCCTGCGCGTCCGCGAGATATCCTGACTGTGCTGCATAGTAGGTGGACGCTTGAGCGGGCTCGCAGTTGTAGGTGCTTGCTGGAGGATGAAGCCCCATGTAGCAGACGCAGAAGCAGAAGGAGGATGAGGATGAGGAGGAGGAGGAGAAAGAGGATGAGGAGGAGAAGCAGGAGGAGGAGGAGCAGGAGGAGGGCAAGGGTGACGATGAGGAGTCGGCTTAGAAAAAGGGGTGATGAAGAGGAGGAATGGGGGGAAGGATGAGGGAGGAGGAAGATGGAGGAGGAAGAGAAGGAGGAGGAGGAGGAGGAGGAGGCGAAGGAGGAGGAGGAGGAGGAAGAGGAAGACCAGTGTAAACCCAAGAGTCATCAACGATGTTGGAATTAACCCTCCCTCCCAGTTCCCTCTTCATAGTAGGCCCGTACAACGGTTCATTTCCATTGAGGGATCTGCTTCGTTGGAATTCAACCGTTTGAAGATCCTGAAGCATGCCAAAACATGGTTCTCGGGATTTCAACGCTACGTATCAACCTGACTGCGGCGTCTTGACGATCCGGAATCGTGCCAGAACGCCATCCTGGGACTTCAACACCGCGCATCAACATGTTGCACTCGCATAGTCCTGAATCTCCCAAAACGCCATTTCTGGTATATTTATCATGGGATCCCGTGAAACTTCAATTCTTTATAACGAATGTGCGCGACGCTAATGCGAGAGCCACATTCTGAAAAGGAGCCGCCCTCAATCCGTGAAGCTCTTGCAAAACTTTAAAACGAGTGTGCGTGGCGCTAATGCGAGAGCCACATTTTGAAAACGACCCGCCCTCCATCTGTGAAGCTGTTGTCACGTTTTAGGCTTCACAGCCGTACACGGTGAGGAAGTCTCAGGCGAAACGCCCGGCCCACCCTAAAACTGGCTTCGGGGTGCGACATGGAGAAGTTATCTATAAGGAGAGGGAATGGAGGAGGAGGAGGAGGAGGAGGAGGAGGAGGGGGAGGAGGAGGAGGAGGAGGGGGAGGAGCGAGGAGAGGAGGTGTGAGAGGAGTAGAAAGAAGCCAAGAGAGCTTTTCGATTGTGAGGGCAGATCCCGATCGTGCCCAGGGTGCTGCTGCTATACTTTACTACCTTCCAACCTGCTTCTTTCTCTTTTCTGTGTGCCCCTGTTCGTTGCTCTTGCTGCCCCTGGTGTTACGCGCAGATGCTGCTACTCCCCCCCGTCCCGCCGTCCGTAGTCGTTTTGGCTTAAGCCATTCACCGATCGTGGGCCTCTGGTTGCGCTCATTGCTCCCGAGCTGTGGCCCTCAGCCAGGCCCTCTCAAGTACCAGGCTGGCGTGCTCCATCGGGAGGAGCTCTGTCCTTACTACGTGACCCGCCCGGTCAGCACGGGATTGCCATCGCGACTTCCATGAAAGTGGACACACAGGTCGTCGCTTCATCTACATGTGGTGATTGCAGATTGGCCAGTTGGCCATATTTGGTTGCCTGGCGCAGTGTTTCTGCTCCTCCTCCCCCTCCCGTTCCCCCTCCTGATGCTCACGGTTTGGGGTATCTGCCGTTCTGCCAAACGATTCAAGTCTAGCCTTGCTTACGCGCACTTGGTTGCCACATGCCGAATGGTGCTCTGAGAGGGTCTCTGGCCGGTGGGGTCGAACGGCTGCCCCCGCGCCTCCGTCTCGCCACTCTGCGCTGCACCCAAGCCCCCTGCGGCCCGTCCGGCTCTCGGGCGCCGTCCCCCCGTCGCTTCGCTATGCCCCAGCGCTCGCTACGACCGACCCGCGCGTCCGCCGAGTCCGAGGCAAAATGTTTTCCCGCCCCCCGATGTGGCCAGTGTTCCCCCTCCTCATGTTTCCTTTTCCCCCTGTGTGCCAGACATCTGCGTTGCATCTTCCCCTGCTGTTCCGCTGGAGGAGCCAGCGCGCGCGGCCATGGCTTCCGGCTGCTGTGCGCCGATGGGCCGCACTGGGCGTGGAACAGCTCGATCTATGGTTGCCCGTGGTACTCTTGACGCCTCTTGTGGCGTGCTACATCACCATGCACGGCTGTCTACTCCTCTGGAGTACGATCGTCGCGGGTCTTTTTAAGGGTTGCAGCCGCCTGACCAGCACGACAGCCGAATACACCATCACATTGATGAGCGCACATCATTTTGCATCGCCACCAGAGGCTTACATGTAACACCGCTGCCACGATCTTCATTCCTGCGCCAGATCCACTTCCCAGTCGAGCGCATCTTCTGGCACGTCTGTGCTGCCGACTCCTTCAAGCGTGATGAGGAAGGACGTGCGCTTTAGCGAGGGTCCGTGATATTGCCATTCCGTCTTTTTGTGGCCCAGCGGGTTCGTCTTCGCCATGCACGTCTTCCAACATGTCTTGGCCTCATTCCTAGCAATTTCACCAAGCAGCGCTGCGCTGTCGGTTATGGCTGGTTGCTTCCACTTCTGTAGGTGATAGTGATACCATGAGTGCTTACATCGTTGGGCCTCGCATTACGAGCTTTCCCCTGGGAAGGTCCACGAACTGGCCGAAAGAAATCATGAAGCCCGGGAAAGAGAGGAAGAAGAAGACGACGAAGAAGAAGACGGAGAGACTATCGGCAGTATTGTTCTATGGCCATGTGCCAATCATGTGGGGCTCCGCGCAATAGCGATTGCAGGCGATCTGGGTCGTCACCCGCCGCCTCCAAAGCTCTCGCGTGCATGTACCTTGTCCATTGCAGGCGTGGGCGGCCTCTAGCGCGAGCACTGGCCCAATCTCGAGGCAGCGCGTCGTCTGCTACTCCCGTCTCAAATACCATGCTCCTTGGAAGGCTGTCCGTGCCAGCTGCTGCAAGCCTACCGTAGAGCTGTAGTTGGTGTCGCAGTAAGAGTACGGATTATGGTGTGGCGTCTGCTGTTGCTCTCACTTTCGCACTGCTCATCCGAGAAAAATACGCTGGCGGAATTGGGTGTATACTTCGGAGGCACTTCGGTTGAAAACTGTCGAGTCTGTCTCTGTCTGCTTTCAGTAGCATGCAACTTTCCAGGCCATGCAATGACTTGGAGAACATGCAAACGTCCAACACGTTGGACTTACGCTGTTTGCTCATGTTGGCGTGATTCCATACGGTACGCATACGTTCGAATGCCCCTCGTGCTTCCTCAAGCCGTCGCGTCACCTCAATTTTGGGGTTCTCGTCGCTGCTCAGTCGCCCCCCAAGGTATACCGCGTGGTCCTGGCATGCGATCGGTTCGCCATCTTGACCTGCAACATTAGCTTCCGATCGGACTCTCAAGAGTATAGCCAAATGCCCGCCCTACTTGTACAATCGCATCCAGATGAAGTTGCAGAGCTGTCGGGTTTGTGGCCACGACCTTTGTGTCGTCTGCATCTAACACATCTTTCGTAATCGCATACATTTTTGAACCATTGTCGTAAGCAGAATTGTCAAGCTTCTTGTCGACTGCCTCCAGGAACACGGACATGACGATGATGAACACATACGTTGATAATTGACTTCCTTGCGCTATGCCCGCAGCCTGGTGAACTTCCTGGTCTGGTAGATCGCCTGCACCATGTCGATTATCGCTGTGGGGACGCGGAAGTGGCGGAGGGCGAACATCAAGCCTTCTGGGTTGACTCTTAGGCTTACGCCACACCGCCGACCCCTTTGTTTTTCTTGGGGGCTTCCTGGGGGCCCTCTGGGGCACGTCGGGGGCATCCTGGAGCCGCAGGTGTCCGTTCTGGTCTGGGAGCCCATGGGGCCGTCTCAGGGCGGTCTTGGAGGCATCTTGGAGGGTCTTCCGCGCTGCGAAGGCCGAACCATCGTACATCGAAGCCGATTGGGGGGCCTCTTGGAGCCCCTTGGGGGGCCTCTTGGGGGCTTTTTGGGGACGTCTGGACGCCTTTTTGGAGCCGCTTGTGGCCGCCTGGGGGCCCCTAGGGGCGGACGGCTGGAATGCTCGTTTCGTGGTCCCCCTTTCGGGCCCCTCTTGGGGCCGTCTTGGAGCCCTTTTGGGTCGTTTTGGGCGCCTCTTGTGCTGTGTTGGGTGCTTCTTGGGAGCCTATGGGGCCGTCTTAGGGCGGTCTTGGAGGCATCTTGGAAGTGCTTCCGCGCTGTGAACGTGGAAAAATCACATGTGCTAGAAATGTATGTTTTCCAAGGGGATTTGACGATTTTGGCCTCTTGGAGGCCTCCTGGGAGGCCTCTTGGAACGTCTTGGCGGCCTCTTGGGCCGCCTTCGGCCCATGTTAGGCGTCTTGGAACGATCTTTCGGCCCAAGTTAGGCGTCTTGGAACGATCTTTCGGCGTCTCGGGGCCCTCTTGGGCCGTCTTGAGAGCCTATGGGGCGGCCCCAGAAGCTGTCGTGGACCTCCAAAAGGAGCCCAGGAAGTGCCAGACCCCCTTGGTGAGCTTTTGTCGGGCGGCCCCCCCTCCAAATCGACCGGACCGGGCTCCGGGGGGAGGGGTTTGGGGAGGGGGAAGTAAGTATCTCACACGCCGATGATCCCCAAGGGGTCGGCGGATTTTGTCGACTGCTTTACTCCAGTCCAGTAATAATAACAATCTCCCTTCTTTATCTTCCAGGGTTGCGTCAATGAGCCCGTGTGCCAAGAAAAGAGC